AGGGAGGTTTTAGGCTCCTCTCCTGCCCAGATTGGGGTGTTTCCCAGGGGCTGGCTGGGTACTGTCTGCCTGCCCCCTCCCATTCTTGAGTTCCTGTTTCAGAAGGGCAGTTGGCTCTACCCTCTGTGAACCACAATGGCTTGCTCAGGCCCTTTGCTGCCGAATAAATGATGGACTTTACCGACATGTGGGCAAGGCCGCAGGCTTCAGGGTGTCGGAGGGCAGAGGTAAGAGGAGTCGGGCAGCTATCTAGCCAGTCACATGGGGTCTGGGGAGAGGGGCCCAGAAGACAAGGATTGTACACACTTGTTTTCTAATGCAAGTTTCATTGAAGTTTGTTTACAGAAAGAGAAATTAGTAGATCAAATTCCCTTGAAATTCCAGGAGGGGAAAGCAAGAAGTGCCTGACTTATGACTTATGACCCCTGGGCGAGCAGGGGGAGCACTCTAGGTCTCGGCACAGGCCTGTGGCCCTGCCACTGGCCAACCTGAGCTGCCTGCCTCCTACAGGTCCCTCTGGACTTGGGTGTATTTGCCCCTCTGCACAGTTGTTGATGGGCTCTGAACTGTGTGTACTGGTAATTGCCTGTGTAATCAGCTTACTCTTGGAGCCTTGGCTCAGTGTAAGTGGGTGAAGTTACAGTCTACCCTCTGCAGCTGGGGGCTGTGCTGGAGCAGGTGAGTTGCAGAGGGGCCTTGGGAAGGCTCCTCTCCTAGGTCAGCCCTAAAAGTGAAGGTGTGGAAACTAAGTTTGATTGGAAGTTTTCCTTTTATTTTTTCAGTTAGGTCTAATGGACTTGATTACTCACTTTAAAAACTTGCTGTAGCAGTGTCAAAATCTTACATAAAACCACCACTTACAAAATAGGGGCTCGTGGAGCAAAACCCTGGGGGCTACGAAAAAACTTATTGGCAAGAGCAAGATTGTCAGTAGATAACTGTGGAGGGGGTTCCACAGCCCCCTTCTTTCTTTCTTTTTTATCCTCACCCAAGGACATTTTTGAATTTATCTTCAGATAGAGCAGGAGGGAGAGAGGGAGGAAGAGAGGGAGAGAAACAGTGATGTGAGAGAGACACATCAAGTGGTTGCCACCCACATGACCCCAACAGGGGCCAGGGACAAACTGCAACCGAGGTATGTGCCCTTACTGGGAACCGAACCCGGGACTCTCTGGTCCGCGTGTCGACGCTCTGACTGCTGAATCAATTGGCCAGGGCCCACAGCCCCCTTCTTTCTCTGCACTTGCAAGTGGATCAGACTTTTTTGCTGGTCTCTTTCCCTAGATAACAAGGTCCTGGAGGAAAGGAACCCTTCCTTAGTAATCTATGTCCCTAGGACAACACCAGCACATAGTATATGCTCAATAAGTGTGTGTTGACTTTGGAGAGAGTGTGTAAATATAGCTTCATCTCCAATGAGTTCCCTTTGGGGTTCCTCTTGAGACACATTGTTAAGGAATCTGGTTCTTTTGATTGAAGGGAGGAAGTGGGGTGAGGCAGCCTTTTGGTGTGGCGGCACTGTGATGTGGGCTCTGGGCAGATTGTCTGGCTGCAGATCCCAATAGCTGTGGTGCCCCTGGGCCACTGGGGTAGGTACCACATCTGGAGATAGACCTGACATGGGTGCCTGCTTTTTGGAGGGGGGCCGTTGCAAGGAAATCTCTTAAGACTTGCCCCAAAGCCCCTTTAGTGTGGGCACTGCATGCCCTTTTTTATCAGACGGTTTCAATGTCAATGCAAAATTTGGTTCACCTCTTCCCAGTCTGAGCTGTCAGAGCAGGGGGACAGGGAGGGGGACATTTTGGTGCACAGTTAAATGATCTGAGCCAAAGAAATCTTAGGCTCTGCTGTAGGAGGGAGACCTTACAAGGCAGCTTGCTGCCACTTGCCCACCTGCCAGCCAGGGTCCAGGTTTCATATGGTCTCCACTCAGGAGCTGTGTGCAGTGGGACTGAGTCCTTAATTGTCAAACTAATGCCACATTGTCATTAAACACCAGTATCATGCTAGGCAATCGAGTCAGTTCAGTGAATCTCCCTGGCTTTGCGGTAGGGCCCAGGGAACATACAGCCTTGTCCCCACTCTTGAAAGGACTTAAGGTTTTCTGGGAAGACAGGGCAGAGACCCACAGTGTGTTGACATGCTATAGCTGAGGGCTGTGTGTCTGACTAACTGCCAGGCCTAATGGTACAGACAGATTGTGTAAGAAGAGGAACAGTGAAGACTTGAGCTGGAGCTGATGGAGAAGGGGGGTGTGTTTGGAGTTTGGGTCACGGATCACCACAGCAGTATGGACATTCCCGGTGAGAGGGACAGCTGAGCAGAGGCTTGGAGGCAGGAAGGAGAATGTGTCTGGGATTTCAGGATTGTCCACATCTGGCTCTGCCACTTGTTAGCTCATGACCTCGAGTGAGTGCCTGAACCCCTTGGAGCCTCGGTTTTTCTCATCTGTAGAATGGGGCTGGGAACGGTACCTTCCTGGGCCTGTAGTGAGGGTGAAATGAGATGATTCAAGGGGAGCACTTGGCACCTGATACACTTTGGCTTCTGTTATTGTTTTAAACTTGACCGAGTGCGCCCTGGCCGGTTTGGCTCAGTGGTTGGAGCATCGGCCTGTGGACCAGAGAGTCCCGGGTTTGGTTCCTGTTAGGGACATGTACCCCCCCAAAATAAAAAAAATAAAATAAACTTGACCGAGTGGGGCTAGAATGTGGGAGCCTTCAGTGCTGCACCTAGCAGTTCTCACTTTTTCTGCTCCCCGGTGAGAACACCATGTTTAGTGGAGCACGCAACAAGCCTTTCTCTGAGCTGGAGACAGCTCTGCCCCAGGCTGTGTGCATCTGGGAAGGGACAGTCCTCTGTGGTTACTCCTCAAGTCCACCAGCATGTGCTGGTGCCTGGACCGCTCCTCAGGCTGACGTTCCCTAATAGTGAGGTCCTCCTCGACCGCCCAGGCAAACAGTCCTGTTTGCCTCTTATTAGGCTTGATTTTGCTTTGTACCCCTCATCACCACCAACGCTGTGTGTTTTTCCTGCTGATTGTCCATCTCCCCAGCTGGGCGGTGAGCACCAGGAAGACAAGGACTCTGCCTGGTCCACAGCTGAATTTCCTAGCACCTGCAAAGGTGCTTGGCTCGCAGTAGGTGTCCAGTAAATACTGTTGAATGAATGGACAGAGCATTTTGAGTAGGTGGTGCTTCCAGATGTTAAGAGAATACTCAGTCCTTGAAAAAACTGAGTGTTTCAACCATCAGAGCCAGGAGAGGCCTTCCTACTCCAACCATGACTTCAAGTTATACACTGAGCACGGTGTCCCTTGGGCAGCCAGGAAGGAGCAAGGGGCCCAAGCAAGGATGTCCCTGGGCCTGGCTCCAAGAGCCTGGCTGGGCTCTGCACCTCTAAGAGTCCTTCTCCCCCACCTGACAGCCCCCCTTCTCACTCGTGGGTTCTATCCAGTTAGCACAGGGAGAGTTTTGTTGTCCCTTTGGACCCTGTTTGCAGAGAGAGCTTTTTGAAAGGGTGTGTATCCCTCGGGTGTGAGAACACTATCTGAGCGAATATGAGCAAGTGTGTTTTCACCCAAGGAAGAGTGTGGGTGGATGTGCCCGTAGAGGGGTGGGGGTGGGGGGTCGGTGAAGACACGTGGTTTCCATCCCCTGAGGCTCTGAGTGTGCTGTGTGGGGACCCCAAGCTGGACAGAGCTGGTGTCCTGGCCCAACTCGCATCCTCTGGATTCAGCTGCAGAGGGTACATACATGCTCTTGCTGCACAGAAGCTGTAAATTCCAGGAAACTCCCTGCCAGCCCCGTAGTGGGGGAGGGAGAGGGGCCGAGTGCCGCTTCCCTAGCACTGGGAGAGCAGATGTGTCTGCCTCAGGGACAGCAGCAGAAGTTCAAACTGAAGTGTGTTTGCTCACTATAAAAGAGATGTTTGTGAGGAGGCCCTGGAGGGAGGCTTTGGTGTGGGGGTGCTCTGCCAGAAATCCTTACTGAGGGCCCACAGAGGCCATTGTATCCTGCTGGAGGACGAGGTTGAGGGGCAAAGTCAGAGATCTGGGATGTGGGAGCCGCTGGGTCATCTTTCTTGAGATTTATAGCCAGCTCCTAAACTCAGTTGCTTGCTGCTCCTGAAAGAGGCTGGGCCAGAAAGAAGGAGGTGGGGTCCTTTCCCACTGGAGGGCTGGATTGAAGGGGCCCCGCCCCGGGGGTTCCCGGATGACTGGCCAAGGGCTCACTGAAGCCCGGGAGGGGAGAGGAGGCAGGCGTGGTCCTCTCTAGCAGGCCCTCCGGCTGTTTGGAAGGCCCTGGCGGTCCCCCAGGCCCTTGAGGCCCTTGAGCCGAACCCCCTTTTCGGTCTGATCTGAACCCTCTCCTGCCCCACCCCCTTCCTTCTCTACACTTCTGGGGCTGGCCTTTTCAGCTCTGGAAGCTGCCCAAGAGCATATCTTTGAAGCACAGCAAAGGTTAGGAAGAAGGAAGACAGAAATGTCCTCTGGGCTGGGGGAGTGGGAGAGAGGAATTCCATGCATGCTCCATGGGAGTCAGGGCGGCAGCCTGGCGGGGCGATTGGCTTGGCCTGGGGGGTGCCCGGCCTGTCCTGCTGCCCGCTTCTGGCGGCCTGGCCCCGTGTGCAGTGAGCCCTCTTCCTGGGCCGAGGACAGGGAGCTGGAGCCGTGGCCCTGTTTACAGTGCTTGCTTCAACCTTGGCTCGCAAGGGTAAGAGCCAGGCCCTGCCACCCGCCCCACAGGATGCGAGACCTCGTAATTGTCTTCAATTACAGAGCTCCGGCCCTCAGCCCTGGCTTCCGACAGGAACCAGAGCCCGAGCCACTTCCAGGGGGGGCAGGGGAGCAATCCAGCCCCCTCTGCAAGGTTTGGGGCTCTCTGTGTCTCCAGGGCACTTCCAAATGCCCACAGGCCCTGGGGTCCATTCACAAGGCCGCCTAGGGGCTGCTGAGGGCCCAGCCCTGTTGAACGCCCACCTTCTTTGTCCTTGATCAGGATGAAACTTCTGTGAGCAGTGAAGATTTTGATATGAACGACTCCACATGGATGTCAGCTGACCCACACCTGGCCTCCAGCCTGAGTCCCAGCCAGGACGAGAGGATGCGGAGCCCGCAGAACCTCCACAGCCAAGAGGATGGTGAGTGTCCCTTGGTGGCTGGGGGGAGGCTGTGCAGGACACCAGGGCCCAGGAATCTGGAGTGGTGGAATCCGGGCCAGAACCTCGGGGGTGGCCCAGGCTTCCAGCTGCCCCCACAGTGTTCTCAGCATCTCCGAGGGCTCCACTTCCCACATCCTGGTTCCAGGGAGGCCAGGCCTTTCCTCCCAAAGAGAAATGAATGGAGCTGTCAGTGAATGGCAGCCTGACGGGCGTCATGCTGGTTTGTTTGTCCTGATGCTCACGGGCTGATGTGATACTGATTTTGAAGTTCTCACGACTCGGGTCTGGGAAGGTTATGTGCCTGACCTGGAACAGTCATCTGTGCAGCGCTGAGACCAGCGAGGCTTCTGCAGCTCTGACGGAAGGACAGGGTCCCTGCCTGTTGCTCGGTGACCGAGCAGGCAATGCACTTGTCCACGTGTGCCCCCATCTCCTTGGGGTGAGCCGTGACCTGGGCTGAGGCGCTATTAGACTCTCCCCTACCCGGGCCCCCACCGCCCTCCAGGGCCTGCCGGGCAGCCTCCTTCAGCCTCCCTGACGGCAGAAACTTCCTCTTTGGGGTGGGAGGGTTGGGATCAGAAGTCACAGCCAGAGGTCTACTCCAGTGCACCCTCATGGAGGCCCTGGGGTGCGGGGCTCTGGGCTCCAGGGCCGGCCTCAGTTAGGTGTAGTTGTTGGCCTCAGGTGGCACCTATGGTCAGAGTGTCCTGGCTGGGAACTGGGGATCGGGGATGAGCCACACCAGGCCTCAGAGAACTGGGGTGTAGAGCTGGCAGCGAGGAGGGGTCGAAGGTTGGGGCCTGGAATGTGAGAGGGAGGTGCAGGGTTAAAAAGGGGTGTAATGTTAACTCTGTCAAACGGGTTAGCCTTAAAGAGTAAATAAGGGGTAGGAGCCTGGCAGTTGGGGTCAAAGTTCATCTCCATGGCAGAACCGCGCACCTCTGACTGCCCCGCAGGCCTGAATCCAGCTTTGTCTGGGAGGAGACTCGGCCTGGAGGCAGCCCTGGTGGCTGGGCCCAGGGCTGGGGAGTCCAGGAGGTGGTTCTTTGAGAATGGGGTGCAAGGCTGCTGGGGAAGAAAAGGCTTTTGTGCCTTGCTGCCTCGTGAGGTCAGCACGACCCCTGTGCTTCTGTGCTTCGCGCCTCCAGCCTCCCCACAGGTGGGCACCTGAGGCAGAGACAGCTTGGCAGCCCACCTCCCTCCTCCTCTGAGCCTACAGCCACACCCAGAGGCCACACCGAGGGCCCCTACAGCGCAGCCAAGGGTGTCAGTTATACCTTCCCAAGAAGGATCCAGAACATTTTTTTAAAAACTCAGAGTAGTAGAACTGAGTGGGGGCCATGTTCCCCTAACTTACTCTCAGAAAAATCTAGTGGTATTGTTCCTCACAACCACCCTTTGGAGGTCTGGCCTCTGTTGGAGACACTTCCTGGGGAGATTTGGTGATTTGGGGGCCTCCAGGATCAGGGAGCAGAAGGGAGTGTCTCCATGGGGGTCACAGGGCTTCCTCAGCATCACTGGCCTGTTGCCCGGAGAGAGGCTGATCCTGAAGATGAAGCTGAGAGAAGCAAAGAGACTGGTGGGGTCAGCATGTCCTGCAGCTGGTCCCGCAGGAGCCTTGTGGGGAGCCCAACCTGGGTGTAGTCACCAGTATTCACCCCCTGCCACTTAGGTCCCTGCTGACCCTGGGTGCTGGGGCTGAGGCAGGCTGGCCTGGTGACAGAACAAGGGTGTTTATCAGGGCGGGCGGCCAGAGCTGGAGACAGGGAGGATGGTGTTGACCATGATACCATCAATTTAATTATTTAATCAGAGGCTGTGTCTGGAGGCTGTGGGCTGATGTGCCGGCCAGAGGCCAACTTAGATCCAGTGCAGGGGTCGCAGGCTTGAGAATGCCCAGCCTGCTGGCCTGGTCTCGGCTGCCCCTTCTGCTCCCAGATCTGTTGGTGACTGCCATGTCTGACCAGAGCAATGGGTTCCCAAAGGGTTTTGGCTGGCACAGACCCAGCCTGGAGTCCTGGTCCGGCCTTCCAGCCCCCACAGTGGCATGCGGCCAGCTCCTTTCTCTGAAGGTACTTACAGGCAGACACGAGCTGAGATCCCGCTCCCATCAGTGAGTCAATGGGAGACCATCAGGGGCTGTAGGCTGTTCTCATGTCCCCTCTTGTTAATGAAGGTGGGGACAAGACAAGCAGGAGCTCTGGTTGGTGCTGCCCTCTGCCCTCAGCCACAGCCCTCCAGGGTCTCCACTCCCTGCTCATGTGCCCTCATCAGGAAGCTCCTGCCCCACTGACCCCCCCAGGATGGCTTAGTGTGTGGTCTCTGACCTTTAGTCTTCCATGGAAGTGGCAGGTTGGAAAGATGATGTCGGAGGCCCCACTGTGAGCTCTGAGATGTGGCCCATGTTGATGCTCTCTGCTGTCCCAGTGACCGGCTGCATGCCTGGCACACTGAGGGGCCTGCTGAATATTTGTGGTCCAAATGAATAGAGGAACAGCAACTATTTATTGAGACCTACCCCCAAGCACACTATCCAGAAGTGGGTCTGCCCCTTGTTGGGAACAAGTTGGGTTTTTGTTCCTGGGGACACCCCCAGTTTGAGCATCTGGGTAGCTTTTCTCTTAGCCAGAAAGTGTGGGTATTCTCAAGGATGTGCTGTTGGCCAGTGATGCAGTCCCAACGCAATTCAAGAAGCCAGGCCTTTTGCACAGATTCACACCTATTGGTGAATTGGTGGGGCCATTACTGCCCTCCTCCTCCCCCTCTTCCCCCTCTCCCCCCTCCCCCTTCTCCACCTCCTCCTCCTCCTCCTCCTCCACCTCCTCCACCTCCTCCACCTCCTCCACCTCCTCTTCCTCCTCTTTCTTCTACAAGTTTGAACAAAGGCAGATGAAGGCAGAGCCTTGGCAGGGCAGTCCCAGGGCTGAGACCAGGAATGAGTGATAAACAGGCCGCTTCCCCCGCCCCACCCCCAGCTCATCCCCGAGGTCTACCAGCCAGTGGGAGTGTGCTCGCACAGAAACAAGCTTATTTTTCTTCCCCAAACCCGCCACTGCCTGCAGGGCTTCACTTCACTTCACTTCACAGCGCCTGCAGTCACAGCAGCTGGCCGGGAGCGCCACTTGCAAGGTGCCTCCTCACTGGGCCGTCGCTGCCGTGGTGAGCACATCACCCTTGTCCCGTGTCATGGGCGGAAACTGAGGGTCAGGGAGCAGATTTGCGCCATCTGCCCAGAGTCAGGAGGTGCTGAGGCTGCTCTCTTCCTCTTTGGCAGGTGTCAAGTCCAAGTGTGAGGTTCTGGGGACCAGGTCTCAATAAGAAGTTGTTCCTCTGTTCCCCAGAAATGGGGAGAGGAGCCTGGGAGCCAGAGGAGGATCCCTCAGAGCATTGCCTCTGCAGGGCCCAGAGTGAATGCTCTCAGGCAAGCCCCCTCCAGACCCGCCGCTAAGCCGGCTGAGCCTTCGGGCTTTCTTTTTTTTTTTTTAATTTTTATTTATTTTATTTTATTTTTATTAATTAATTTATTTTTGTTACAGATGTTTCTCCTTTCTCCCCCACTGATCCCCCCCCCGTCCCCAGCTTTGTTGTCCATGTCCATTGTTCATGCACACATGCATATAAGTTCTGTGGTTTATCTTTCCCCCACCACTCCCTGTTTTGGGGATTATTAGTCTGTACCCCACTTCCATGTCTCTGGGTCTACCCCATTCCTCAGACTGTTATGTTCATTATATTCCACAAACAAGTGAGATCATATGATACTTGTCTTTCTCTGTTTGGCTTATTTCGCTTAGGATAATACTCTCCAGGTCTCTCCATGTCATCTCAAAGGATAAGAGATCTTTCTTTCTTATAGCTGCATAGTACTCCACTGTGTATATGTACCACAGCTTTTTTATCCATTTGTTTACTGATGGACATTTGGGCTGTTTCCAGATCTTAGCTATTGTAAATAGTGCTGCTATGAACATGGGGGTACATATATTCTTTCTGATTGGTGTTTCAAGCTTCTTAGAGTATATTCCTAGAAGTGGGATCACTGGATCAAATGGCAGTTCCATTTTTAATTTTTTGAGGTAACATCATAGTGTTTTCCATAGTGGCTGCACCAGTCTGCATTCCCACCAGCAGTGCACTAGAGTCCCCTTTTCTCCACACCCTCACCAACACTTGTTTGATGATTTGTTGATGGCGGCCATTCTGACAGGTGTGAGGTGATACCTCATTGTTGTTTTAATTTACATCTCTCTTGAGCTTTCTTTTGAGTCCAGACAGCACTCTGGTCTCATCACAGGTGCCTGGAAAACCACTCTGGCCCAGATGCCATGAGCACCCTCAGAGCTAGGACCCTAGTACCCAGAGCAGGGCCTGGACCAGAGCAGGCAGGTTGAAGTGTCTGTTGAATGAATGAGTGAATGAACAGGGAACAAGGCAGGCACAGGGGCAGGCGAGCCGGCAGGCCTCCTGACCGCCCGACTGGCGAGGCCGCATCCCAGTGCAGCAGGCAGCCCTCCTTCCATTTCCCCTGATGTGCTCGCTCTGCCCCTTCCTGAGCGGAAAATCTGAGGCCTGGCCTCCAGGAGGGGTGCGTGGGGGAGGGGAGCGGACATTACTCACCTCCCCGGCAGACAGGAAGCCAGCACCAGGGAGAGCTGAGGGTCCTGCTTCCTTTTTCCTGCAGGGTCATCAGGAGTCGCTGGGCTGTGTGATGTCCTGTGGCGTTTTGAGGCCTCTGGTTTGAGTCTCAGACCAGACGCTCCTCTGGCCTCTGGGCCTCACTGGGCTCAGAGCTTCCTTCTCCCTGGGGATGTGGCTGCCAGCTGACCGCAGGTCCGGCCCCCCTCCAGGGCCCGCGCCCGGTGGTTAGGTTGGAGAAAGGCACGGAGGGTCCTGGCTTAAGCCTTTGGGTCTTTCGGGGTCCTCATCAGTTTGTCCTGTGAACCGTGAGCCTCTGCTGATGACGTGCGGAGTTGGGAAGC